AATTTACATCACCAAAATACCCAAAGATTTTTTAACACTAGATGTTTCTGGTAATGATATAGCCCATTTTCTTAATCCTGTTAATAAAACTGAACTTGTGACTACAATTGCTCCTCCTACTGAGTAAGGATTTGGAATTTCATTAAAAAATAAAACTTGCCAAAAAAAGGCAAATACTATGTCTGCTGATCTTGCTATTGCAACTGGTCCTGCTTGTTCCATCTGTAAAGCTAATGTTAATAATATCTGACCCCCAAAACTGAAAAGTGCAAGAGCAACAACTAAAACTCTGTCTGTTCCACACCGAGGTAAGCAAAGTGCACCTATAACCCAAGATATAACTATTGTCTGAATCAAAGCAAATGATCCAAAGTTTGTCATGATTACTGAAAAATGAAGGCCTTTTAAAGCTCTTAGTAAAACATATGCATTTGCACCAAAGAGAGTTGCTGAAAAAGCTGCTACAGCACCCCACAGATCTGCATGTTGCATTGTTATATGTCCATCTGAGAGTGACTCTATAGTATGTCCAAAAATAAGTGGTGGACGTGTTATTAAAATTACACCAACTAATGTTAAACAGACTGTAATAACATTAAATAATCCACAAGGCTCTTTTAAGAATATTCTTGCAAATATAGCTACAAATACAGGAACAGAAAAGACTACAACAGATGCATCAGCTAATGGCATATGTCGAAATGCATAAAAACTTAGCATGAGGCCAGTAGTCCCCACAAAACTTCTTAATATTAGCATTAGTCTATGTCCTTTTGGAAAAGGATGTTCTCCCTTATATATTACAATTGGTATTGCTGGTAATAACACACCCACAAATCGAAATGCTGCCAATTCCATTGGATTTACTTCTACTAAACCTTTCACAATGACACTGCATAATGAAAAAAATAATGATGATAAAGTTGCCAGTATTAAACCAAGATAAGGGCATGATTTACACATTAGAATTGAAAATCGTTTTTCTTGTGCTGTTGTGTTACTTTCAATGTCACCATCAACTAAATGTTGCAATTCAACATGTTCTGACATGTCTGAAAGAAAAAATAAATTCAAAAATTTGAATTTTTCAAATATATGAATACTTTAAATTTGAGTAAAAAATGTAGGAAGAAATAACAATAGTATTGAATTATTAAAAACATTTTACTATCATAAAACATCGAAAAATATAATAATTAACAAATAT